GAAAAGGTACAGCTAGGCAGAGAATTGCACCTGCACTCAAGGTTATCTCAAGTGAGTCCCTTGCAACTCTTGTTCCTCTCTTCCCACTCCAAGATCCTAACGGAAAAGCAGGGTTTTACCTTAGGTTGTCTTGCTATTTACATTTTGCCATGTCTTCTGATGGGAGATTTCCCATTCAGATTTTATTTTAATAAGCTAATATTTATTCAAATATATTATTAATAAGGCAGAAATACACTTGACAGGCTTTCAAATGATATACCTTACCACTATGTACTGCTCCTTTCTTTTAAGATGTAGGTTCGTTCCATTAGCCGAAAGGAAAAATACAATTGTACCATTGTAAAGGACATGACTGTGACCTCTTTGCCAAATTCAGTAATAACTATTCTGGTTTTATTCTCATTTTGCTAAATAAGAGGGGGAAACACTTTCTACTTTGTGCCATGCTACCACACCATCCTATAGGAAAGTATATCTGGAACCAACATATAGTACAGACAGGCATTATTGCAAGCAAAGAGGGGACATGATAGGTGTCATTCAGTGGACAAACACATTAGCCTGACAAGTGCCATACATTTCACACAGATTAAGTAAACTTCTTCTGCCACCTTTAGTAACTCAGCCAAACCACTACAACAGGTTGTATGCATTCTGAAACAGATGTATACATTCAAAACAAATGAAAATAATCAACTGAAGGGTTATTTTAAAATATAGTTTAACCACCTACAAAATTAGCTACCAAGTATGGGGGGCCTCTCTTCTGTGCATCTCTAATGTTTTTTTTTGCACTTTTAGAACCTCCAACAGGATCAACATATCAAACAGAATTCCAATCGTAAACGAATTGCTTATTTCTAATTTACTACCCATAGGCAATTTTTACTCAGTACAGACACTAGGCAATGGCCATCTGACAGCTTGATTTAACTTCTACTTCTTTCTTTTTTAGGGAATAAGTACCAATCACATAAAAATGTTCAAAATATACTTTCTCACAACAGCAGGCAAAAAGAATAGTAAGCAAGCCAAAATTTACCACGGTTACAGAATTAAAGGCAGCAATCTAACACTGTGTCCATTAACCAGCAAACCCCAAGAAAATGTAAAGTTTTCTCTACTATTTCTTCAATATGAAAGATCAAAGGCCATTCTTCTGTAACCCATTCTTCCGTATTTCAGCTTGTGAATTTTTGAAAATGCAGCACACCCCTATTTCAACAGATCCCCAGTTCCAGTTCAGCTTGAATGTCCTGTTCTGCTGTTAGATCCAAGACGAAGAGTTTGGAGACACCATAGTAGTAGAAGTAGAATCATGTACTGTCAGTTTAGCATGCTACAGCGAAATGCCTTAATTTAAAAATTTTAAATGTAGAAAGTCTGTGGACAAGATTACTTCATTAGATAGCCTCTAATAAAGTAGATGGCAGTCCACAAATGCTTCTTAAGACAAAAAATACACCATTTTTTATGATACCATAAGTTTTTCTATTGTTTTACTCCTGCCACAGATAATATACAGAAAATCTGTTAAGGCTCAAAACTCTACAACAAGAATGGTAGTTTGATACACAACTAAGCTGTTTAGAAGGGCTTGGGATATAATTTGTATAATAGATCATTCTGGTGATGGATCTTCAGAGAAAAAGCCACTTCTCCATTCCCCCTTCATTTTGCTTTCAAGTGGTACCAGACAGGTAAACATCAGTTTCACATGGGCCCTTAACTATGAAGCTGGAGAATCTTTGGCCAAGCACATTTTCAACCTATTCTACCTCATAGTGTCATTGCTGGGAGGGGAGAAACAAAGAAAATTAATGGACTTCAGAGAGGGAGGACTGAATAAAACAGGAAAAAAAGAGAGAGAAAACATGTCTCTCACTGTTCCCCTGGTTTCTAGATTGCATACTATATCCTGATGAGAATGCTATCAAAATCACAGAAGATACCAAATATACGTATACTGTATACTAAGGATTCAATCCTGTGTACAACCTACCTGGGAGTAACCATCATTCAACATACTGGAATTTATTTCTGAGTAAAAATGCATATGATTCCACTGCCATGATTTCAAAATATTACAAAGCAACTTTTGGATGAGGGTCTCAATAATGACTTATGAAGATAACAGAAATAAGATATGTGAATTTATCATTCTTATTTCCAAATCAGAAACTTAATATTACTCCTCAGAAATTTCAGGACAGATACTTCCAATGAAAAATAACTTGGGAGACTGAACTTGTCTCTCCATGCCTCCGCTGGCTCTTTCTGCTCATGAATAAGAGGACTAAGAAATGAAACTAGTTATCTATTGTTTAACCATCTCTTAAGGAATAAAGGCAAGCTTTAAAAAAACTGCATGGAACAGAAGTGTCCCCTCCCCCTCCCACATGGGAAATACCACTCTGCTCCCAGGGAAGAATCTGAGGAATTCAAAAAGGACAAAGCCATGTGACATCACCCATTCCACTCCTGACATGCATGCCATTTGGAAGAATCGCATACTCTGATGAGTTTGGCAAGCCTTAAAGGAAAGTGATCAGCTAACAGGAATGAAGATAAAAGACTGCAACCAGGGGAACTTCCTGCTAGCATAATCTGTCAGAAATGGCAGTTCTCGGCATTTGGAACCCTGGGGCTGCAATCCTGTAAACCACTAAGATGTTTAAATCCTATGACATCGAGTGGATTTAATTCCATGACATCAAGTGGATTTGCCTTGTACCAGTCCACTGGCCTATCTGGCAGTTTTTAAAATATGACTTTGTTCAGACAATAGCCCTCCCATAATCCACTTCAAGCCAGGGTAGCCACCACACTTCCCCAAATCCCCCAGCCAGCAGCATGGGTGCTGGCAATATCGGCTGGGGAGTTCTGGAAGTTGAAGAGGCCCTGCTAGCTGGGGCATTCTGGAGTGGTGATCCAAAACACAACTTTTCCAAGCCCTGCTGTCTAACTTAGTACTGTCTGCTCCAATGGGCACTAACTCTCTAAAAGCTTGTCACCCTTCCTAGCCTTGTTATCCAAGATTTCAAGGGAATTAAACCTGGGACTGTACCGTGTTTCCCCAAAAATAAGACAGGGTCTTATATTAAGTTTTGCTCCAAAAATCACATTAGGGCTTATTTTCAGGGGTTTTATTTTTTTTTCATGTACAACAATCTACACTTATTCAAATACAGGGATGTCATCTTCTTCTGGTTGCTGCACAATGCTGTACTGTACAATGGTGGAGGGCGGTGTTTCACTTAACTGGGGCTTATTTTTGGGGGTAGGGCTTATTATATTACAAGCATACTGAAAAATCATGCTAGGGCTTATTTTCAGGTTAGATCTTATTTTTAGGGAAACATGATAAGTGTATTTTAAAGTGTACATTCCCATAGAAACAACTGACCTGTGCATTATTTACTTATTTACTTATTTATTTATTTTATATGCCACCCACTCTACCCAGAGGTCTGTGATGCACAACCAACAGTACTCATCCCAAAGATAAGTAGGAAGCAATTACTTTTTAGTTTAGGATTTAGACAATAGGTTGCTTTCAGGCCTGAATATTACGCTCATTTACTTAGCAGTAATCTCACTGAATTTAGTAGGGCTATCCAGTAAACATGTATAATACCACACTGCAAGCAAAATGGAACAGGAGTAAGGTTCAATGGAAGCCCCCAGTACTGTCTAAAAAAATTCAATAGCCAATACATTATACTGAGTGCTGAGTTTATGAGCAGGCCAAAGCAAGAAAGCTATGCAGAAGGCTAGCTGGAGAATCAGGTGATATATTGAAGGACAATATTATCTTTTCCCACTGCACTTCTCCTCCTGCATGATGGTTAATTGTTCACTAAATTCAGCTATTCTGGCTTACTGTGAAAAAAAAAACAGTGAGGTTGCAACATACTGTACTGCCCTGTCATTCTTGCTGCCAAGAACAAACCCTAGATTACCTCTCCCACTTTTTGAGGGATTGACAAATCAAATGGCTGGGTTCAGGCATCATCATCAATGCAGACACCACAAAAGGTGCCTAGTTTGTTGAGGTGATCCTGCTTGCAAGTAGAACCAACAGGGACTATGCTGCCCTGCTTACGAAAAGATTCTATCTATCTATCTATCTATCTATCTATCTATCTATCTATCTATCTAGCCAACAGGGACTATGCTGCCCTGCTTATGAAAAGATATTACTTATTTATTTAAAATATGTTTTACCCTACCTTCCTCCTTAAAAGGGTCAAAGGTGGCTAATAATTCTTAGTAATCCTGTTTTATTGTGATGTCCAAATGCAGCCACAAATATGTTTTGCCCCACCTTCCTCCTTAAAAGGATCAAAGGTAGCTAATGATTCTTAGTAATTTTGTTTTATTGTGATGTCCAAATGCAGCCACATATACTGTATATTAGTTCCTCTGTACGCACTGCGGAGCTCCTGGTCTACTGCTAAGTTGAGCCTGCCACAGACACTTTGAAAAAGGTGGATAGGGGCAAGCTGAAAGTAATGAAACTTCTATCTCTCTTGTTTCCAAAATATGCTTTCTGCACAGTGACTACAAATGTCTGGAAACTAATCTGCATAACTTCCCATTTCTTTTTACGGTACCAAGATATTTCCCCAGGAACTTCCCTGAGTCACTGTAATACAGCTTCAGTCTAGATCTGTATAGTTTCTTCTTTAAAAGCCCAAGCAGGTAACTCTGATGCAACTAAATGGGTTTTGCCCTCTTTTACATTAAACAGGGCTGTGTCAGGAGACAGGGCATCTCTACATCTCTGCCCGTTCATGGGTAAACAAAAGAGCACAACTTCCAGCAACTGCACACAGTATACTTTTTTTAAAAAAAACCTAATGAGAGTTGGCAGAGAACACTTGAAGGGGCACCAGAGGTGCTGGGAGGCAGGTGGAGGTACTTCCTCACCTCACTAGATTTCTCCCTTTCTTTCTTCCTCTATAAGAGATTGCTAGGACAAGACTGGAGGGGAACTTCCTCTGAAAATTTACAAGTCCTCCAGCAGAAAGGAAACTACAGGTACTCCTTCTGATTCACAAGGAGGATATGGTTAAGTTCACGTCTTTTAAAGGAAGTGGCGAATTTTAGAAATGCAAAATAATTATTTTTGAATGCAGTTTGGCTGGCACACCCCTCTGGATGCAGCAAGACCTCACAGTCTGCCACAGCCAGAGTCAAATGAGCCCTGAAGCTGCGGGGAAACCTCCGGGGCAAGAGGCACAAGTCGGCTGACTTGGGAAATTCAAACCGAAATCTGACACCTACTCTTTTCGCTCTTGCGTGTTTGCAAAAAGGCCACCTCCAACCCCAGCCTGCTGTCTCGCTGATTTTTATTTTATGAATACAAAACACGGAAATACAATGATCACGACCTACGCCCAAAGCGCCGACCAGGAGCTAAACCCACCACAAGCTTGTTTCCAAAGTACGTAAATAAAATAAGGCAAGACAAAAAACACGCGGCACCTTAAAGACTATTATATTTCAGAAGGCGGCTTAACCCCTGCATGTAACCCGTGACCATTTTTAGAATATAAAATTGACATTTCATTCTGTCTCTTAACGCCTGAGGAAGTGGACGTGTCCCTGAAAGCTTACTTTTAAAATATAACGGCTAGTCTTTAAGGTGCCCCATGTTTTTGAGGGTTTTGTTTGGTATTGTCTTTGTTTCTTTCGGTTTTGCCTGATAATTGCATTTTAATGTGAACTTTCACAGAGACGCCCACTTCCTTCGTCAGACCGAGGGACGCGTCCACGAAAGCTCACAGTAAAATTTAACTGTTAAAAGTCTTCAGAGTGCCACAGGATTTCGTCTTGTTTTGTTTCGTTTCTTTGGAAACAAACGTATCCACGAAAGCTCACGTCCTAATATAATCGTTTGTTCGAGGTGCCACGGGTTTTATGGCTTGTTTTGTTCCGTGTCTGCTTGTTCCGAGGCCAATCCCACGAGTCTCTCTCCCCAGAAGGAGTCCACCACTACCGTTCATGGTTCATGAGGGCTTTCTCTTTCTCTCTCTCTCTCTCTCTCTCTTTCAATCTTCCCTCGTCTCTGTGAGGTGGACACGTCGGCTTCAGACAAGCCAGTGGTGCTACTTCCTTGGTGCGCGCACAGCCGTCGATGCGCGTTCACACGACGACGACGCCGCCCCAGCTACACCGGCGGCCCGCTTTCGAGTCGAGCTTTTTTTTTAAAAAAAGGTGCGTTCATGGCGCGGAGAGCGGAAGGCTCAACCCGCGTCGTCAGAGCAGAAAACGGAGAGAAGGGGGCAAACGCCGGTCCCACCCGCCTGCCTGCCTGCCGCTCCCTCTCCTTCCCTGTCCCCCTTTTCTCTCCGGCTGGGTTTCCTCTCGGTAATGGCCCGAGATGAACCCCCCCCCGGCTTCTCGAAAGGCCTCCTCTACTCACAGCCACCGCGGCGCTCTCGGGCCTTTCGTGTCCTCTCAGTTACGGCAACGACGCACTTTCGGCGGCCGCCATCGCCGCTCCGCCCGGGCCTCGCTCCTGACGCCCAGTTGCGGGAGGGGGGGAGCGGCCCTGTAGTAAGTAGCCGACTCCGCGGTCGGGCGGACTACGCGCACTTCCTCCCTCTGCCTGCAGGGGCCGCCACCACCACCCCAGCCCCTGTCCTGAGCGCGGATTCTGGAGGTGGAGACAAGCTGTGCGGGAGTTAGCGCCGACCAAGCGGGAAAGGGAAAATGGCGCCCTCTGGCGTCCCTCTGAAACAACCCGAGGTCTCGACGAAGCCAAACGGCGCTTGCTGTCATGATTTTTTTTTTGTGAGGCAGTTGTTCCTGAGGGGAAGAGAGGGAGGGAGTCACGAAGGGGGCGCGTGTCTGCCTATTCATTTGTCGTTTCACACATAACATATTTAAAAGCTGAAAATGTGAGAAGATTTTTTTTATTTCTTTCCCCCAGCCCTCCCCCCGGGCCTTTCTCGACCTGCCGGGAATGAGGCGGACAGACGGAGAAGAGAAAGAGAACGGACAGAAAGAGAGAAAAAAGGGGGAATAAACTTGGTCGAAGAGAAGCCTACAGGTTCAGGGACCTGCCAGAGTGCGAAAGGAGCTTTATTTTTCCCCCTTGGAGTGCAAGCCCGAGGATGAGTCACAAGTCAGTCCGAGGCGGGCAAAATTAAAGGAAAAAGATGATGTGAAAAGGACAAAAACACGGTGGCACTTTAAAGACAAATGCCTCCGCCTCTAAAGTGTCATAAGATCGCGTCTTTTATTTCCCCTTGAATTTTGCCAGAAAGCTGAAACAGAAGACTGAGGGGAAATGGGTTGCCATTTGAACTTCTTGTGGAGCGATATAGGGTGCAATCTGTTTCCTAAAGATCACAGGATGTAGTACAGGGAAATGCTCTCCAGCCTAACCCTGTTCCATACTCAAGCTGGAGGTTTGGGGTCCAGCTCCACGGTTACCACTTTTGAAGACCAGACTGGAGCGATTTCCCTGCCAGAGAAGAAGGGTAGCTTTAAGGGACATTGCTCCCGTTAAGGCACCTGGGTCAATCAGATATGTACCTTTGGAGCAGTCTGATCACACCCTAAGGAGGCTTATCCCTTTGAAAATCCTGATCCTATGTATGTGTACCTTGAAATAAGTCCCACTGAGCTCAGTGAGACTTGTGGCCAGAAAGATACAGAATTGCAGCCTCAGCAGAACAAATTTCTAGAAGTTTATTAGGTTATGGGTGGTATGGGGATAAATGTTTCTATTCAAGGGTGAAACTACTGTTAACCCCGAAAATCGAGGCAATTCTCCGGCAGAGGCAGCAGACTAAGACACGAGACAACCAGCTGTATAGAATGCCAATTATTTATTAAATTACACAGCTAGGGCCCAATCTCTTAAAAGCAGAGAAGAGCCCCGAAACACGGGTGCATGGATGTTTTATAGGAATACACACAAAGGGCCATAAACAGTTAGATTCTGATTGGTGTCCTGAACCCGAAACTTTGGATCTCTATGCCCATTGGCCCTAAATGTTCTGTGGGTCTGACTTATTGGCTACACCTGAATGTGTATATGATACGCATGCCCCCTTGGCCTTAAGGTTATGAATTACTCAGATGGCGACTATGTGTCTGATTTGACAGTACCCAGATATTCGTTTTATCTCTGTCGTTTTGTTTATTGTTGCATTGTATATGTGCACTCACACTCCATGAAGTTGAATTGGGGAGTTCTGGTTTCCCCAGATTCATTTGCATTAAATGGCGATCTAAGGAGAGAGAGGACAATGTTGTTTGCGGCTCTCTTGCAGCCCTGTAGCAAGCACAGTTACAAGGGAACTGCCCAATAAACTGTAAACAAGGCTTTCCTCCTCTTGTTTCTTCCTCATTAGCCTTTCTTTTAGGTACCTTATGTTGGTACAAAGGTGCAGGTTTTTTTTTTTAAGGAAAAGTCTTGATCTCCATGTGATCGGGTTCGTTGTAAGTGTTTGGCAGTTCCCTGGTTAGAGTGGGAAATGACAGGAGAGGAGTTTCTTTAAACAATTCTTTATTAACACAACTTTTGGCTTTATCAACAACTTCAAGTGGATCATTAAGGTCTTCATCAACAGGACAATTATTCCACAACAGAGGTAACGTTTTCTCCTATGAGTCTTCTTTCAATGGTAAGACTGGCTGAAGTGTTTCAGATCTGTGGGTCTTCTCAGGCACCCACTCCTTATAGCACAAATTGTCCAGCAACAGGGGTGACATGCCCATTCTCCCTGCGGCGGTTTCTCTTGAGTTTGAAGTGGTCCTGGCCAGGTCACCTTCTTCAATGGACCTCGCCCCCGCAGATAGACTAAAACTGTCCATTCTTCAGGATACACCCCTTCTATAATAGGTTTCGGTCCCCAATTCTTCCCGTCAGGCTTCTACCTATATATCTATCCCTTTCCATGGTGTTTGGAATACCTTAGGTTCTGTTTCTCCTTCTATCCATTCCTCCTCCAGAACTACTACCTTTTCCGTCTCCCCTGATTCCTTTCCCTCCTCCAATTAAAACATCCATCTCCTTTCGGACTCTTTCCTTTGGCTCCTCCCCCTCTTTTCCTGTGTTTAAGCCTTTCACTTTAGTAATCAACTCGGTTATCTGCTCTTTCTTAATTCCTCCATCCTTCATCTCTCTCTCATATGTTTGAGGGGACGGCTCATTCTCACTTATTTTCTCCTTTTCCTCCTCTTTCAATAGGTTACAGAGAAGCACCCTTTTAAAATCTGAAGCACTCTCCAGTTAACAATGTATTTTCAGTTCCTTCGTACATACCATAGCAGCTAAATGTTTTTGGAAATTGCTGTAAGGTTGCTACAAACAGTCCTGTGAGTTTTGCTGCTCTCAAATAAAAGAGAGGGAGAGAGAGAAGCGTAACATTTTCAAGTACACATTTATTGGTATTTGAAAACAAGGACTTTTGCTGACAGAAGGAGGTATTGCATGCCATCCTCAAGCTGTTTAAAGAAAGAGAGGCTTTGCACTTAGTGGTTTGAAAAAAAGAGAGAAAAGTCTTGCTCCCTTTTCTGCTTGTGTGTCTGGCATGATGACTTTTCTGCATCAGTTCAAGTGATCACACGTCTGAACCCATGCAAATTGATCATTTTTTAAAAAAAGAAGCCCCAGGAACAGAGGGAAAAACTACAGACTCTGGCCTGAATCACATTGTCCTTTGCATTGTGTAGTAAGTGAAAAAAAATGAAAATCAACCTGCCCCCAAGCTGTAGTGTTTCCTGCATTTTTCCCCCAGGGTAGTCACACCTTAAGACAAGAACATGGTTCAACTAGCAGAGTAGATGAAATAAACAATCTCTTGACATACACACAGAAAGCTTAAAGCTGGAATATGTTAAGTATTTCTCAGGGAGCATGGGAAGCTTACTTCTGAATAAACACAGGATTCTCGTAAAATGTACAAATATTTCTTGCTAAAATGTAGTGATGGTAGTGTATTGCTTGAATGGCACTGGCTTTTGTCAGGAGGTGAAGCCCAAGGAACAAAGTAAATTCTACAAGACACATCACATCATTTGACTTGTTTTCTTTATATAGTTTACCTCCCCCAACCTATATCGTCATTGTTTCTGAATGGGTTTTTGAGACTCAGATTCTAAGGCTGGCATGAAATAGAAGGATGAGAGAAGTGCTATTACAACAAGCTAATTCTTGATAGGTTTATTGAATGCATTACATGCTTCTTTGAAACCTGGCTAATGTTTAGAATAGAGAAACAGAGCCAAGTAAGAGACAGAAAACTGGACAGCAATAGTAAAGCTTTGTCTCAAGAAGCACAAGTAGGATCTGCAACAAAATGTTGCAGTAGAAACACCCCCTTTTCAGTGTGGATTTCGAGCTAATAGATCCACCACTGACATGGTATTCTCCCTCAGACAGTTGCAGGACAAATGTAGGGAACAACAGCAGCCACTCTTAGTGGCCTTCATAGACCTTACAAAAGCATTTGATCTGGTTAGCAGGGATGGCCTTTTAAAAATACTTCCCAAGACTGGATGTCCACCTTGACTTCTTAACATCGTCAGGTCCTTTCATGAGGAAATTAAGGGCACTGTAGTTTTTGATGGCTTGACATCAGATCCCTTTGACATCTGAAGCAGAGTGAAATAGGGCTGTGTCCTCATGCCGACCCTGCTTGGCATCTTTTTCTGCTGTCATGCTGAAGCACACTTTTGGAACTGCAACAGAAGGTGTCTATCTCCGGACTAGATCAGATGGAAAGCTCTTGAATCTCTCTAGATTGAGAGCGAAGACCAAAGTCCAGTTGAAATGCATGCAGGACTTCCTCTTTGCTGATGATGCAGCCACTGTTGCCCATTCTGCTGAAGACCTCCAACAACTCATGAATCGTTTTAGCAAGGCCTGCCAAGACTTTGGACTAACAATCAGCCTGAAGAAAACACAAGTCATGGGCCAGGGCGTGGACTCACCTCCCTCTGTTACCATTTCCATGCAAGAATGGGAGGTTGTTCATGATTTCGTGTACCTTGGCTCAAGGATCTCTGTCACTCTCTAGATGTCGAGCAGGATAAACGCATTGGCAAAGCAGCTACCTTGTTCTCTAGACTCACAAACAGTGTGGCTCAATAAGAAGCTGATGACATATACCAAGATCCAGGTCTATAGAGTGAGTGTCCTGAGTACATTTGTGTACTGCAGTGAGTTCTGGGCCCTTTGTGCACAGCAGGAGAGGAAGCTGAACAGGTTCTATATGCGTTGTCTCCAATGCATTTTTTGTATCACCTGGCAGGACAAAGTTCCAAATAGAGTAGTCCTATATCGAGCTGGAATTTTTAGCATGTATACATTACTGAAACAGCAACATCTACATTGGCTTGGGCATGTTGTGAGAATGGCTGATGGTCGGATTCCAAAAGATCTTCTGTATGGAGAATTAGTGCAGGGAAATCACCTCAGAGGGAGACCACAGCTGCGATACAAGGATATCTGCAAGTGGGATCTGAAGGCCTTAGGAATGGACCTCAACAGATGGGAAACCCTGACATCTGAGCGTTCAGCCTGGAGGCATGCATTGCATCACGGCCTCTCCCAATTCGAAGAGACCCTTGTCCAGTAGGCCGAGACAAAGAGGCAGTCATGAAAGCAGCAAAATCAGGGAGCTAGTCAGGGGACAGATTGTATTAGTCTTCAGTGTGGAAGGGATTGTCACTCTCGAATTGGCCTTCTCAGCCACACTACATGCTGTTTCAACTCCTCCATACAGAGCATGTTACCATAGTCTCTCGAGACTGAAGGATGCCGATTATTATATTCAGAGTTTCACCTAGCTAAATAAACCTCTGAAGATTTTTTCATTCCATACCTCAGTCCCCTTAAACAGACTGGTAGTGTTCTATGACTGCTTGGTGTGTTATTTGGGCTTTTCTCTCCCTGCGTAAGGGATCCCCTTGCTTTTTGATGGGGAAGAATCCTGTAAACCACTTTCCCACCAAGTTGGTGGTACCTTCCCCTTGTTCATAGATTGTACTGCTACTTTGGCTCCATAACAATAGGAGAATGAGTTTGATACTACTCTGCAGATTATTGAGAGCTAGTATGGTGTACTCTTGGATAGCATATTGAACTAGAACGCAGGAGACCCAGGTTCGAACCCTCTCCCAGCCAAGGAAGCTCACTGGGAGTTTCACTGATCAAATGGCTCTTTAAACATCTCATATACTTGAAACTTCTGTCAGGGTTGCTAGAAATCAGATGCAACTTGACAACACTTAACACACACAGTCATTTAGAATATCATTTGATTCAGTTTCTAACAGCTGATCACCGATGGGATTTGCGTAACTACTTCCGCGCCACATTAAAGGTGCTGTACTGTCCTATATACAAGTCTCATTAAACTCACCAAGTTTCTTGTTATGTTCTGTCAGGTTACTTCTGACTTATGGCAGCCGTATGAATTAATGAGCCCCTAAAGGACTTCTCATTAACAGCCTTGTTCAGT